TATTTATTTATTATGTATACAATATTCTGCCTGTGTGTATGCCTGCAGGCCAGAAGAGGGCACCAGACCCCATTACAGATGGTTGTGAGCCACCATGTGGTCGCTGGGAATTGAACTCAGGACCTTTGGAAGAGCAGGCAATGCTCTTAACTTCTGAGCCATCTCTCCCGCCCCCAACCGGGAAGATTCTAACCTGCATACATCTCAGAGAGGAGAGCTATGGCATATGCCTCACTTCCCTTCTTCCTAACATTCTGTTCTGTCTACTCCACCCACCTATGTTCTGACCTATCAGGCCAAGCAGTTTCTTTATTAATTAACCAATGAAAGCAACAGATAGACAGATGACCCTCCTCCATCATACATCTGATTAAGATATTTTGTATATTGATACAATTTAGGATATATTTATCATATTGTGTTATATATTTCTATCTCAGATCAAGATACTTACACATTGTTTACATTTTTAAGTCATTGTCCTCATTTGCTGCACAGTTGTTTAAAGATTATTTGGTATTCTAATATGAAGTCTTAGTCTCTAAGTTATACAAATATTAAGTATTATAGGTCAATAGTCATCCATATTTGTCATACTTATATCTAATTGCCTCTTTAGATACATAGAGATTGTATTCTGCATGGATAGGTAATATTTAGCCACTTCAAAGAACTGTAGAATATGGCATTTAAATAACTTAGGGTTCTATTGATGTGAGACACGATTGCTCCTGTCAGTACTGATCTATTCCTGAGAGAATGTTGAGCACCAAAGACACTCCATCTGGAGTTTGTTTTCTTCTTGGAAAAACTGTCCTTTGGGCAAGGAACTGCCCATGTCTCAACTACTGACAAAATGCACAGTGATTGGACCGGATAAACAGGATACAAGAAAAAAAAATGCCAAACCTTGCCAAGACAGAATAAGATGGTTTTGACAATCTTCTTCCTATAAAAATGGTTTGTCAGTTACTCTAGGCCTTAGCCAAAGTTGGTGGCTTCAGCATTGCAAAAGAGATTTTGGGTGATTGCCTAGGTAGCCAGTTTCTCTGTCATCTACTGCCTATTTTGGAAACTGCTTGATTGCACTTCCTGCCTGTTCAAGAAATATTATATCCCTTCTCAGGCTTTCAATGGGGTTAAAAATTAGATAGTCATAGTTATTTTCCTCTTATGATTTATTCAAGCCATTTCTAATTCAAAACTTACACCCCTTAGGCTAGAATAGTTATTGAAACCTTTAGCATATGTTTGTTGCTTAATGTTGTTTATACTGGTTATAATTCTAATTTTTATACTTGATATCTGTTCTTATTGTATATAGTTTTGTATTGGGTTTAAAACTCTTTTATTTAGACAAAAGGGGTGGGTGATGAGGAACATCCTTCAGCCAACGGCCTTTGAGAGGCTGGAGCAGGTGGGGCATGACCTTTGGGTACCAAAAAGCCCACGGTAGAGAGCCCACTTGGGCTCTTCTTCCTGTGCACCACACCTGGATGTTGGACTCCAGTCCTGTTTCCTCGTTGTGATGTGTGTTTCCCTTATAATAAACAAGAACCTTAATATCCCCTGTTCAGAGCTAGTGTGGGAGTATTTGACTCACATCTCCCCCATTTGATGCGCCCCACTACAGGCATGCACCACTGCTGCTCAGCGAGTTACTTTTTTAGTAACACCACAGTCGAGAGTAGTCACCAGAGCATGATATGGTGGCACATGCCTTCTATCCCAGCACTCGGGAGGCAGAGGCTGGCCGAACTCTGTGAGTTCCGGGACAGCCAGGGATACATAGTGAGATATTGTCTCAAAAGACCAAACCAAATAAATAAGTAAAAATAAAAAAAATATTAGCCATCACGTCTTCTGTTGCTTGAATATATCTGTCTGAAAGAGGTACAGGAACAGCCCCAGGTTAAAGTCCACTGTCATGTTTTGGGAAAGAAGAAAAAAGATGGACATAGGCCCTGGGTGACTCAGACCGGGCTGTACAGCCTTATTTTCATACCTCTTCCCCCCACAAAGTACTCTGTGTCCTTGAGCCCCTCAAGATGGAACTTTGAAGCCACAGCGCTCCTTCTCAACATTGCTGACCCTTGAATAAACTTCTACCAACTTTTGTCTCCTGATATTGGCCGTGGTGTGGTAGGAAGTCAGATTGCTGATTCCAGAATAAAGGGTTTCATTAACCAAGGTCTCTCTCTGCTGTTCCTGTGACTTCTTGTCTCTGTCTGTTTTAGTGCCCCCACAGTACTAGGCACTGTACCTAGAGCCCGAATAAGCTTTGTTACTTAGTCACCCAGCTCCTCACTGGTAAACTCTAGGGAAGCACTCTATCACTGAGTCAGGCCTGGGCCCCTCACTGGTAAATTTTAGGCAAGTGCTCTACCACTGAGCCACACCCCAGCCCCTCTCTGGGGGATTCTAGGCAGGGGTTTTCGACGTTTCTAATGCTGTGACCTCTTGATATAGTTCCTCACGTTGTGGTGACTCCCAAGCAAGAATTTGTCCTCATTGCTGCTTCATAACTGTAATTTTGCTACTGTTATAGATCAAAATGTAAATACAGATGATTTTACGTGTACCCTTGAATTGGTCGTTCGACCCCCAGATTGAGAATCACTGCCATTACAGACGTTTCTCCTTTTTAAATTCAGTCGAGTCAGGCACGAATCTATTGTCAAGATATTTATTAGGAAATGATACAAAAAACCCAGGAAAGGGTACATTACAGAGTAGGTTCTGTGGGTGTAAGACTGCATTTCCCCTTTGTCACGTCATTTTTTCCTCGAAGACAGGTTTAAGACAGGAGGGTAAAGGGCCAATATGCCAGGCCCTGGGGTTAGGAAAGAGAATGTGGTAGAGACCCTGATGGAGGCCCACGACAGTGAAACCAGCTGGAAGAGGGACAGAGCAGTCCCTGGACGCGGTACTCAGCGAACCTGCACACATAACTGGAAAGGCCTTGGCAAATTGCCCAGCCCTGAGCTAAGCGGGGTCAGGTCGATGTCCTCAGGCTCCACCAGCGGTTGCAACGTGAAGTTCTGCAGAATGGAGGTGAGGTATATGAAGAGCTCCATGCGCGCCAGAGGCTCCCCGAGACACAGTCGGCGTCCTGCACGGTGGGAGGGCCAAGAGCAAAGGTGAAGTAGACAGTGTGGGGCAGCACTCGCACATGCTCAGAGGGAATCTGTGGGTTTGAAGGTAACGGCTGGGGATATCACCGACAAAGGCCTCAGGGTTTTGGGGGAAATGAAGCCGAAGTAGCTGGCTGGGTTCAAATCCTGTGTTTGAACGTTCCCACAGCCGAGACACAGCTGGGGTGCAATCAATCCGGTATGATCTGGCTATGGAGTCCAACTCTCAGCCGCTGCCCCTTCCCAGAGGCATCGGAGCACACAAAAGGCGACATGGTAACTTATCTGACATTACCCCCCATTTTGTCCTCTCTGCTGAGTAAATAGGATTCCTGCCCTCTTTCCCCTTCCCCGCCCTCTTCCTCCTCCCCTGCTGTCTGTGGACAAGGCAGAGTTAAGGAAAACCAGAGCCAGGCTCGCCACCTAGTGGAGATTCTGAAAATCTTCTTAAATTAATGGGCTTCCACTTGGGGGTTACAGGAGCCAAACTGGAAAAGGGGGATCTCTGCAAGGAAAGCTAAGAATGGGATGGGATGGAGAGGGCTTGCAGAGTCGGGTTAAGAGCGACTCCATCCTTACCAGCCGAAAATGGCATGAAGGCAGGGCTCTTCTTGAAGGATTGATTGTCATCCAGAAAATGCTCGGGATTGAACTCCCGAGGCGTCTTGAATTGTTCGGAGTCATAGTGCACGGTGTTAAGAAGGGTGATGACATCTGTGTCCTGTGTGGAGGAGGAGGCAGAGTCAATGTAGACCTCCTGAGGATTTTACTATTTTCATTTTATGTGTCTGAGTGTTTGCCTGCGTGTAGATACGAGTGCCACGTGGGTGCAAGTGCCAAGGAGGTCAGGAGAGAGAGGCTGGTCTCCTGGAAGTGGAACAGGGTGGGGGGGTTGTGATGTGGACGCTGTGAATCCAGTCCGCATCCTCTGGAAGATCAGCCAGTGCTCTTAAAACTGCTAAGACAAGTCTCCATTCTGGTTCTGTCTCCCTCAAACCCAGATTTCCAGGCTGCAAAGATGGACTTTTAGGGGCTTGAGAAGGGTGGATGGACTCCATCCAGCGTTCCTAGAGATAGGTGCTGATAGCTCCTGCTGAGGTCTGAGAAACCTTTGGCCCTGAGCTTTGAAGGAGCAGCTGTAGGGGTTGTGAGGGAGGGGTCCTCCAAGAATGGTGTTTTGGCCTCAGGAGATAGATGTTCAGATGAAGTCCCAGGCCCTGGTGATTCTGGGGAGGGTTCAAGGTAGGGGTTTGTGATAGGGAAGGAGTATGTGGTTCTAATGGTGCAGGAAGGGTTTCTGGGAAAGGACTCTGTTTCTAAGAATCTAAAGTGGCTAAAGTGGCCAATGCTTGCAATCCCAGCACACAGGAGGTAGAGGCAGGACGATCTGGAGTTCAGGTTCACTCTTAGTCACAATGGGAGTTTGAGGCCAACCTGGGCCACAAGAGACTTCTGCCTCAAAATGTACAAAACAGGGTTAAGGAGATGGCTCTGGTGTTAAGGGTACAGGCTGCTCTTGAAGAGGACCTGGGTTTGATTGCCAGCACCCACCCAGCCATATGTAACTCCAGCTCCAGAGAACACAATGCCCTCTTCTGGCCTCCTTGGGCACTGCATGCATCTGGTGCACAGACATACATTCCAAATAAAACACCCAGTCATTCACATAAAAAATCAAAAAAAAATTTGTAAAATTGAGGCCAGCCTGGTCTACAAGAGCTAGTTCCGGGACAGGCACCAAAAAAAAGCTACAGAGAAAACCTGTCTCGAAAAAAAAATCAAATTAAAAATTGGAAAAAAATATTTAAAAAATTTTAGAAACAAGCAACTTCCCACATCTACAGCTTCACTCCGAATGCTGATTGCTAAGGTCAAGGGTACCCCTTAGCCAATTACAAGATCCTGAAATACCTATTCGTAGGTTAAGCCTGCACACCTTGGGTATCATGAAGCCGCGAAAATGCGTGTCCCGAATGACGCGGTGAGGCAGGTTCATGGGGATGACGTCTGCGAAGCGCTGTACTTTGTGGATCACTGCGTCTGTGTAAGGCATGTTCACGCGGTCTTCCAGTGATGGCATCCGGGCTCGCCCCACCACGCGGTCAATCTCCTCCTGTACGCGGGCTGGAGGTGATAGAGGAAGGGAGTGGATGATGGTTCCTGAGACGCTTTGGAACTGGAACAGATTTGCACCAGTGGACAGGAAAGGCTCAAGTCAAAGCTTCCCTAGCTCCATGCTGTGGCCTGTAATCATTGCACGGGGGAAACTGAGGCAGGAAGATAGCTGCGAGTTCTGGCTAATCTGGGTTTCCAAGCGTTCGTTTTCGAGAGAGGGTAAATGATGGTCGTTGCAAGGTTTCTCTGTGTGGGTTTGTGTAGATGGGCTTCAGGGCTACCTGGATCCTAGGACCCTCTTTTGAGGCTCATGGACCCAGTGGGTGGGCTGTGCAGGGGAAGGCTAGAGATCTCCCACAAAGCCAGGGAGACTCGGGGAGGTGGAGCCTGGGGGATGTTGTTTACGTGTTGTGCTAGAGGTTTTGTTATTCAGGAGAGGTCGTTGTCCTCAGCAGACTTTGTGCCTGGGTCTTAAGGATGGGGTTTTAGGAGGACAGAAGGAGCAGGATTCAGAGGCCTGACAGTCACGTGCGTTGTTGGCGGGGCCAAACTACACAGGCCTGATCTGAAAGAGGATCACCATGCAGGGTCTGGACCCTGAGGGTCATCCTGGCATCAGTCTCTCAGTGGGTTTGCCTTGTATGTGAGGGTGCATTAGCAGAAGGCCCCAATAAACCCTCGGGATAGGGAGAGGGGGAGAAGGGACGGAGAGCGTTGAGCAGCCCTTTGATATCCCTGTACCTTGTACTTTGGGATACTTCATGAGAATAAGGAAGGCATGGCGCATCGTGGTGCCCACGGTCTCTGTGCCACCGAACAGTAGATTGTGTGTGGTCATCAACAGGGTATTCATTTGGAAGTGGCTCAGTGGGTCTTTCTTCTCCTGTGGGGGTGGAAAGGGGCCATGAGCCAGGGCCTGGGGGAATCCTATACTTTGGAACCTGTGTGTCCCGCTCCAATACTACCGCTAGGGGGGGGGGGCAGTTCTGTCCCTCTCTCCAGCGGACTTTTCTTCCTGGGAGCAGAGGAGTGTGAGGTGTGAACAAGGAGAGATAAAAAGGGGCGAGGCCCTTGGTGAACACTTGGGCAAACCCCACAGCTTAATGATTTGTTAGTTGGCGGTGGCTCTGGGCAGCGGTCCAGCAGGGCCAGGTGCCACAGCTTCTCCTCAGGGAACAAGTTCCCAGACTGTTCAAGCTGAGATCCCTGTAGGTTTGAGGCCCCGGGGCAGCAGGAGGGGTTCAGACCAGCCCAGAGGGAGGATTTTTGATATCATAGTTACCTGTGCCATCTTTGTGAGGAAGCAATCAATGAAGTCTCTGGGAGAGTTGGGATCCAGAGAGGCCTGGTGTTCGCGGAAGCTGCGGGCGATGAGATCTTTCATGCCCCTAAAGTTCCTGAACATGCGCCTGTGGGGCCCGGGCAACCAGTCCAGGAGACTCGGGAAGATGTTGTACATCTGGGGGAAGAAGCAGAGTTGGCGGGGCTTCGGGAAGCAAGGCACTCAACAGGGTATGTGACTGGGGGCTCGTGGGCTAAAGTAAGGTCATCAGATCAAATAGGCTCGGTCCAGGTCTTGGCGGGGGCTGCCAAGTTCTGCAAGGGCGGAAAGAGCGTGGGAGGGAGGGGGCAGGGTGGAGGAGGATGGGTTGACTGAATAACTGGGGCGGGGTTATAAAGTAAGAGTCGGGCAGAGCAGGCCAGTTACATCTCGTCTCTGTTTTTTTTTTTTTACTTAGTTATTTTTCTTCATCACTGGCTGCTGGGGTTCTCTCTACCAAGTCCAGGTTGACCTGGAACTCGTGACAATCCTTCAGCCCCAGTCTCCTTAGTGTTGAGATGATAGGCTTGTTTCTCCTCTCCAGTCCCTGCAGCTTCTTTCTCCACGGTTGGACGCCGTGGGGACCCCCTACCCACATCTGTTGACCTCAGAGTACTGACCTCGCCCCAGGGGCTGCTCATTATCTGAAAGTTGTCGTTGATGAATCTGATGATGGTGAGCAGACGCTCGTCCTCATAGTCGAATCGACTTCCAAAGATAACGGAGCAGATAATGTTGGACACTGACCGGCTCAGGATAAACACGGGGTCGAAGGGCTTGCCTGAGGTGGATAGGCGGCGTGGGTCAGTGTCCTGCTTTGGCAGTATTGCATCTTGCAGCAGCCAGACCATGAGCTGTCGTAACGCCCATTAACTCAGCGTTCACCCACCCATGACACGGTGTCTTCCAGTCCAGAACACACACATGTAGCCACTCTGTGCAATATGACAACACTCCCAAAGTATTTGACAATGTCACCCACAACACACAGCTCACCTTATCCTGAGGAACAAGAAGGCTAATAAGACAAACGCAGGTTGTTCTTGGACACGTTCACACCACCCACAATACAGGGAATGCCAACATTAGGTATCACAATGAACACTCGCTTACAAAACCACCTTAAGTACAGACAAAGAGCCTGCAAGGGCAGCGAGCACCTGTGTCCCCAGGCGAGAGACTAAGGCAGGAGGATGGCTGCCACTCTAAGTTCAGCCTGGGCTCTAGGCTCACATTGTGTCAAAACCAGACAACTGGGGACTGGAGAGCTGTCTCACGGAGACTACATCAGGCTGCTTGCAATTGCCTGTCACTGCCTCCAGAGTGTCTGACACTTCCTTTTGGCCTTTGTGGGCACCCCCACATTGTTGGCACACATTCACACAAATACATGTACACATAAATGAATCTTAAATTAAAAAGAAAATAGATATTTGTTTACAGTGGTTGAGATCTACAATTTCAGGTCCTGGGAGGTGGGGGCAGGAATCAGCTGCCTAGTGAGTTGAGGCCACCTTGGACCTCGTCTCCATGAAAGAAACAAAACAAAACACCCCCAACCAACCAGACAAACCCAACATATGCCAACAAAGTCAGCACACAAACATCCCAAGACAGAGTCACAGTGTGCTGCCTTGTGATGTCAGCACAGAGCTCCATCCTCCTGCCTCACAGCATGCAACAGTAATTCACAGCAGCTCACTGGATAGTACAGAACACACTGCGACATCCTAGACACATATCTAGGCTGCAGAAGAGGTGACACACAGTAAGACACCAGAGATCAGCAGTCTACACAGTGCAGGCTCACACGCAATGGCTGAGGACAACCTTACCCCAGTATAGACCACAAACATACAGCTTAGCCTCTAACTAACAGCCAAACATACTAAAGGATACAATAAGAGCAACAAATGCTAGGTCAGGTGTTGCAGCTGTAATCCCAGCACTTGGGAAAGCTGAGGCAGGAGGTTCATTATGAGTTCCAGGCCAACCTGGGCTACAGAATTTCTGTTTTGAAAATGAACAAACAAATAAAACCAACATTTCAACACAGTGTCCAAGACATAAAAGCACAGTCTGGAAGGCAAGATCTGAAGGTAGCCTTTGACTTTGCTTTGATTCTGGTGTGGACTCTGAAGTCTTTCCTTTCTCTGAACCTCAGTTTTCATCTGTGTAATGGGCTTGGTGCCAGTGCCCTCCTCATGGAGCTGTGATGCAAAGTCAGGGAATGTGTAACTGGGAACTCGGGGTCACCACAAAGCCCACTACTGTGGTAGGCTGAATATGATCCCCATCCCAAGAACCTTACTTTAGGTGTGATGTTATTAAGAGTTTTGTAATAGGGGCTGCGGAAATGACTCAGTGGTTAGTAATATGTATTGCTCTTGCACCTCTGCAACTGACTTGAGTTCAGTTCCTAGTACCTATGCTGGGCAGCACATGATGCCTCTGGCCTCCTCAGGCAGCTGAGTTCATGTGCACATACCTCCCCCAGACACATAATTAAAAAGATCATACAAATCTCGAAAATTTATTTTGTAATAGCAAAATTATTCTAAATTACCTGGGGGAATCTCAGGAAGGTCCTTATAAAGAAAAGTTAAGTGGGCATAAAACAACGCTAGGTGGTGGTAGTGCACGCTTTTAATCCCAGCACTCCGAGGCAGAGGCAGGCGGATCTCTGAGTTCGAGGCCGGCCTGCTCTACAGAGTGAGCTACAGGACAGCCAGGGATACACAGAGAAAATCTGTCTTGAAAATAAAAAGTATGTTGAGGGA